TGAGTAGCTATGATTAGGAGTGAGCCACCAGCACCCTGCTGATTTAGGTATTTTTAAAAAATACGGTTTTAAGCCGGGTGCTGATGGCTCATGCCTATAATCTAGTTACTCATGAGGCTGAGATCTGAGGATTGAGGTTCAAAGCCAGCGCAGGAGGAAAATCCAGGCAACTGTTACCTCTAATAAACCACCAGAAAACCAAAGTGGCACAGTGGCTCAAGTGGTAGAGCACTAGCCTTGAGCTGAAGAGTTGAGGGACAGGCCCAGGCCCAGAGTTCAGGCCCCAGGACTGCCCTCCAAAAAATAAATAGGGTCTTGATTTTATAACAGGCTAGCCTCCCTGTTTTTTTTTCCTTTCTTTGAGATAATCTTTGCTCCTTTTCCACAGAATACTCATTATTTGGGCAAAAGGACAGAGGAAGGGAACTGCTCCTCTTGCTTAGATGTTTTCCATACAATTGCGATGACAGGCACACACTACCACATTTTCTCTAATGGATGTAAGATGTTCCAATATCATTGTTTTAAATTTGGATTTCTTCAATTACTAGTGCTTTTTTTTTTTTTTTTTTTTTTGCTGGTCCTGGGGCTTGGGCACTGACCCTGAGCTTCTCTGTGCTCAAGGCTGGCACTCTCCCACTTGAGCCACAGTGCCACTTATGGCTTTTTCTGTTTATGTGGTACTTAAGAATGGAACCCAGGGCTTCATGCTAGGCAAGCACTCTACCACTAAGCCACATTCCTATCCCCACCAGTGCTTTTTGACCATTTCTATATCTATTATGTTTATTCTACCAGATACTTCTGTTTTATTTTTAATGTGCCAGGCTCTTTTCTGAACGTGGAGGTCTGCATATCTTGGATATGATGTCTTTTTCTTCTAAGAGTTAGTTATATAGCTGGATGTTAATTCCTGGACAGTTGTGTCTGTTCTGTTTTGAGAAAGGATCTTGCTAATTTGAGACTCATTATGTAACTCAAGCTTGCTAAGAACTTACATTCATCCTACCTTAGTCTTTCAAGTGCTAAGATTATAGGTGTGTACTGCCATGCTTAACTCCCTTGTCAGTATTAGACAACACAAATCTCTCCTCTTGGACTGGAACTATCTGGTAACTTCGGCTGTAGCACACTTTACTAAATGCTGTCATATTTTGATGAAATACGAAATTGCTCCTATGTTAAGCAGTAAGTTCATAATAAATTCTTGGATTTTATTGTCTAAGAGTTGTGGGTTTTCCATTTCCATTTAGGATCATGTGGAGATCAAGTCACATGATACAAAGTTCTAATCCAGTTCTACTTTTCTCTATACAGTGAGGCAAATTTTCCAACATAGATTCTCTCTTTCTGATGATTTCATCATTAAGCAAACAGCTCAGCCTGGAGTCTATTCTGGAACTAAGATTAGCCAGAGATTTGCAAACAGTTGCAGGCAGAAAATGTCTCTGTGAAACCTGAAACTAGGCAGGTCCGATGTGACTGCTTTGCAGAGAGAGAGAGAGGTTTTGCTTGTGGAGAATGTCATGTGGAGACCCCAGAGCAGAGGTTTGACATGGACGCACAGGTGGTGGTGGTGGTGAAGTCACTCCAGGCAAGCAGGGCTGTGGAGAGAGGGGTTGCAGCATTGAAGGACACGTCTGGAACTTACCACAAGGCTGGGATGCTACCACTGGGGTTCTCTGGTTTCACACATCCACAGCTGCCTGCTCACTGAACTGTAGGCCTTGAAATTGGGACATGGTTTAACAGCGATCAGGATGCATTGTAGTTAGTTTCAGCGTGTGGTACCTGAGGTTAGGGTACTGGGCTCAAATCCCAGTCAGTTTATTCACTAGCTGAATGACCTTGCACAGATTTTTCCTGAGTGAATCCTTCTGAAGTCTTTGGCCTAGTGCAAACATATGCAAGGCAGTCAATAAATATCAAGAACAAAAATGAGGCCAATTGATGACGGACTTGTCACTCCAGGGAACAAAAAGAATGATCAAACTCTAGCCCTCAATGAATTCATGATCTAAAAAGGTGATGAGACAAATTACAACAGTAATTATATCCATAGCATGACAGACTGCCTTATACTTTGCTCTAAGAAAATTAAAACATGTAGAGTTTAAGGAAAAGAATGATGTGCCAGCTAGATGCCGGTGGCTCACTCCTGTAATCCTAATTACTCAGGAGGCTGAGATCTAAGGATCACAGTTTGAAGCCAGCCTGGGCAGGAAATTCCATGAAATGCTTATCTTCAAAATTTGCCAGCAATTGGGGCTGGGGAGGTGGCTCAGTGGTAGAGTGTTTGCCTTGCATACATGATACCCTGGTTTCCATTCCTTAGCACTACATAAGCAGAAAAAGCCAAAAGTAGTGCTGTGACTCAAGTGGTAGAGTGCTACCCTTAAGCTGAAGAGCTCAGGGGCAGTCCAGGCCCAGAGTTCAGGCCCCACAACTGACAAAAAAAAAAAATTAGCCAGCAAAAAGCCAGAAGTGGAGCTGTGGCTCAAGTGGCAGAATGCTAGCTTTGAGTAAGAAAGTTAAGAAAGAGTACCCAGGTCCTGAAATCAAGCCCCATTATTGGAACCAAGAGCAAGGAAGGAAGGAAAGAAGAGGAGAGAGAGACACAGAGAGAGAGAGACAGAGAGAGAGAGAGAGAGAGGAGAGAGAGAGAACCAAATTGGAGGAAATGGGTAAGGGGTGTGGAGTGGAATATCAAGCTGGGGGGAAACCTACATGGAAGAAAGTGGTATGAAGACACCCTGAACCGCAATGAGGTTTCTAGTAGGAGGACCCCAATTTGGTGGAGTGCAGGTAAATGAGAATGGGAGGGGCACTGGAGCTCTGTCTTACGGGACTTTTTTTTCTTTTCTGTCCTGTCAGTCGTGGGGCTTGAACTCTGGGCTTGGACGCTGTCCCTGAGCTAAGGAGCTCAGGGTGAGTACTCTACCACTTGAGCCACAGCTCCAATTTTGGTTTTCTGAGTAGTTTATTGGAGATAAGAGTCTCACAGACTTTCCTGCCTGGGCTGGCTTTAAACCGAGTTCCTCTTATCTGAGCCTCTTGAGTAGCTAGGATTACAGGTATGATCCCCCAGAGTCTGGCCTCTACCCAGTTTTAACTTTAAAAGTCCCTTAGGGCTGGGCACCAGTAGCTCACGCCTGTAATCCTAGCTACTCAGGAGGCTGAGATCTGAGGATCGAGGTTCAAAGCCAGCCGAGGCAGGAAAGTCTGTGAGACTCTTATCTCCAATAAACCACTCAGAAAACCAGAAGTGGTGCTGTGGCTCAAGTGGTAGAGCGCTCGCCTTGAGCTGAAGAACTGATGACAATAGTGCCCAGGCCTAGAGTCAAGTCCTATGACCAACAAAACAAAAAAAGAAAAACCTGGGGCTGGGAAGGTGGCTCAGTGGTAGAGTGCTTGCCTTGCATGCATGAGGCCCTGGGTTCGATTCCTCAGCACCACATAAGCAAACAGAAAAAAGCCGGAAGTGGCGCTGTGGCTCAAGTGGTAGAGTGCTAGCCTTGAGCTGAAGAGCTGAGGGACAGCGCCCAGGCCCAGAGTTCAGGCCCCACAACCGGACCTCCCCCCCCAAAAAAAAGAAAAACCTGGGTTGAATTTAACCTGCAGCTCAGCGCTGTGCTTAGGAGGGCTTAGGAGGGCAACTTGAAATGGTTGCCTGAGCAGGTGGAGGCACTGGGCAACTGGGCCAGCTTCTGTGGTCATCTGGATGAGGTAACACAGAAGCATGGATGGGGTGAGGGCATTGGGAATGACATGAAAGAAGCCAAGGGAAAATATGATTTCTCAGTTACTTGAAGAACTTCACTTCTGATCACCAAAATTGGAGGTTGGGTAGATGTTTTCTATACCAAGAAATTCTCCACCTGTCCACGGATACCTCCCTAGTGTTCTGCAATTCAATCCAGTGCTGACACTGCCCACAGGTTAAAGGGCCCAGCTTCTCCTGACTGTTCCTACTTTAAAGGCCAGACCAGTTCAGCCTTTCCCAGTAATTAGAGGATCCCAGGACTCTCTCTCTTGGGTTTGATAATCTGCCAACAAGAACAGTCATTTCAGCCTTGAGCTGAAGAGCTCAGGGACAGCGCCCAGGCCCAGAGTTCAAGCCCCACGACAGACAAAAAAACAAAAACAAAACCTGTCATTTCAATGTGCCCCTGACAGGGTGGGTATTTGCCAGCAGTAGCCTCTAACCGTTGGATGTGGGACTATGTAGTTCAAGGGAAAGGCTTTCAACTTGAAGAAGGTGCGTAAAGCATCAATCCAGCAAAGTGAATTAAGTTCTCTCTTCTAGTGAGGATCAAATAAAATACATACACTTGGAATGCAGTGATTTATGACAGGCGGCTATTTTAATAAATGAATCTCTAGAACACCATCCCTGGACAGCATCCAGTTGGGACAGGTGGTGCGCATTTGGCAGCAACCACATCCCTAAAAGAGGCTGAGGAAGAAGCCAGGGCTGGACAGGGCTGGGATAATGGGCATGTCTGGAAAATGGGCCCTGGGTTCGATCCTTTCATTTTATAAGGCGGGGAGTAGAGGTTCGGGAGCCTAGGAACCTCCAACTGGCGGAGGAGTGAACTTTCCCACTAGGTCAGTAGGTTTCACTAGGTTGGGGCACCGCGCGCGCTGTCCTCACTGCCATCCTAATGCGCTGTCTCCATTGTTTCTGGAAGCGCTCAGCCTCTCGATGGTAGCCCTGCGGTGGTCTATGGGTGCAGGTGCCCAGATGCGTTCAGGACGCGCGGCAGCTGTGCGTTCTTGGGCTTTTTACGCGCAGGACACCAGTGGAACGTGACATCCCGCGTCCCAGCTGCCAGCCATTGGGAGAACGCTGAGCGCGGGCCGCCCCACCCGAGCGGAGGCCGTACCTGGAGGGCGGGGAGGGAGGCGGGGCTGCAGGCGGGGCGTGGCGCGTCCCTAGCCCCATCCATAAAAGGCTGGAGCAGGGCAGGCAGGCGTGACTCTGCCTGGGTGAACCGAGCCCTCGTTCCAGTGGCCGTTGTACTGCAGCCGCCGCCGCTTCCCAGCCATGGGCGCCGTCTGGTCCGCCCTGCTGGTCGGAGGAGGTCTAGCGGGAGCGCTTTTCGTGTGGCTGCTGCGGGGAGACCCCGGGGATGCGGAGCCGCGGAAGGGTGCGCCTCCTGGGGAGGCTTCAGCTCCCGGAGGCGATCAGGAGGATGGCGGCGGCGGACTGAGTCCAGGGCTATGCAAGCAGGAGCTGATCACCAAACCAGGTATTCCCTCCCACCTCCCCCCCCCCCCCCCCCGCCCCCGGCTACGCTTGGCAGATCGGCCCGAAGTTTTGAAGTTGAGCTGGAGAGGCTGTGCGTCTCCGCGGGCCAGCTTCCCCCCGCGGGGCCGGGACCCTCGCACACTTCTCGTTTTTCCCGGGCTGGGAAGGTTTGTTACTCCTGGAAGTGCGGGAGCTGCCCTGGCGGATCCTGCGAGCGCCGCGCCCAGCCACGGGTGCCCTGGGCGCCGGCCCCTGAGGGCCCGCTCCAGGGGAACGCGCGCCTCCGCCCCGCGGTGCTGCGTGCAGGGCCCTGGGCTGCAGTGGCAGCGCCTCCTTCCCACGGCCTTCGAAAGCAGGGTCTAGGTTTGGGGATTTCACAACCCTCTTCCGTCTCTGACCCAGCAGGAATATTTTCTGAGTTCCAACGCCTTAGCCTAGACTGTCACCCCACAGTCCTCGTTAGATTTGGGTTTGAGAACACCATGAGGTGAATGCTATCTGGACGCTTCTATTGGGGAGGCAAAGTTCAACTTGATCTCAGGCCGCAAAGGCTGAAGCCCTGAAGCCGTGCTCTGGCCTAAGGTTTCCAAACTTATAGGCCCTTCCATGTGCCTCCCCACCCCCCAACACAGAGTGCAGTGTGGCCCGATCTTCGGAGAAGACCCTTAATGGGGCACTCAGCTACAATGAATACTACATTTTAGAGACTGAGCTAGGCAGACAGCAAGCATTGGCACCAAAGTTTACCTTCCAGTACCCTTCTTTGGCATGCTGCCCATACCTGATGGTGAAATGTCATCTGTGGACTTTTTTTTTCTCAATGAGGTGGTGTCCCTTTGTAAGCACAAGAAAATCTGTCCTTTGCCTTTGCTGCGACTGGTTTGGGCTGGATAGTTAATCTTGTTTCTGAAGGCCAGCCTCACGTTTTTTAGATGGAAACACTGGGAATGCAGAGTAGCTTTCGTTGATGTCCCCTTCCACTAAAAAAACAAAAACAAACAAAAGCCAAGACCATCTCCTTCGCCATACTCTACCTGCTTTAGTGGATTTCAGTCTTTTAGGGGAGATATACTGGATTGCCAACAGAGAAATTTCAAGTCTGTAGGGGAGTTGGATTGTGTGTGTGTGTGCAGGCTAGGACTTGAACTCGACCTGGGCACTGTTCCTTGGCTTTTTTTGCTCATTCTACCACTTAAATCTGCACCTCCAGGTTTGGTTTTGTTTTTGTCGTGGGACTTGACCTCAGGCCCAGCCCTGCCTCTGAGCTTCTGTGCTCAAGGCTAGCCCTTATACCAGTTAAGCCACAGTACCACTTCCGGTTTTCTGAGTGGTTTATTGGAGATAAGAGTTCACAGGAACTTTTATGCTAGGGCTGGCTTTGAACTTCCATTCTCAGATCTCAGCCTCCTGAGTAGCTAGGTGTGAACCACCACGCCCAGCCAGGTTTTGTTTTATTGTTTAAATACAAATTGGAGATTGAGTCACATGGCCCCCCCTCCCCCTCCAAGGCTGGTTTTGAATCACAGTCCTTAGCTCTTAGCCTCCCAAATAGCTAAGATTATAGGCATCAGCCACCGAGACTGGAATCCTGTGTAGATTTAAGAACGTTTTATTTATTTATTTATTTATTTATTAAGAAAAGGGTACAGTGGGAGGGGATTCAAAAGGCTGTGTCCCTTTTTGAAGAAGTTCCACTGTCCTCACATTCACTGTCATGCACTGTCTTGGTACTCACATAGTGATAGCTCATGCTGATCTGATCTGCCTGTTAGTCTGGGAGCTGACTCTTGCCCTTGCTGCATTTCTTCCGAGAAGTGGAGTACTCTTTGGATGTGTGGGACAGCTATGCAGCCATTTGTTCCACAGGGTTTTTCGTGTATTCTTTGGGAATTGAACCCCAGGGCCTTGTGCTATACCTGCTGTACCACTGAGCTCAGTTCCCTTTGATGACAGAAGCCAAGCTGTTTGACTTGGCTGCATGTTAGCATGGCCTGGACAGTGGGAGACTGAGGGCAGGTTTACAGTTGGGCTTTTACAACTTGCCACTTCCTTTATACTCTATGCTGATGTATTTCTATTTTTGGATTTACTTTTGGCTGTAGGATATGCATGCATACATTTAAAAGTAGAGAGTTGAGAGCATATGAAGTAAAAATGAACTTGACTTAGTAGAACTGCAGATATAGTGCAAGACTTCAGATAGCAATCTTCTTTCTCAGACTCTTTTCTTTTGTGACCTAACACTAATACATTTTCTTTTTTTCCCTTAGAGCATCTACAAGAAAGCAATGGACATTTGATTTCTGCAAGCAAAGGCCTGGATAACCTGCAGGAAGCCATGTGTGCACAGAAGAATCTGTGTGGAGCAGATGGGAACAAAGCAAGACAGCATTGCCCTGCTGCACAGATTCTAGACACACACACACTAGCTGCCTCTGAGACTGGTAACTCTGCAGGTTACTCTGAAGCTCTGAGAAATAAAAGCCTTGAATCTCATGGAGAAGAACGGAGCTTCCAAAAAGGACAAATGACACCTGCTAGTGCAGCTACCTGTTTTGGAAAGAAGCTGTCCTCTAGTGACCTGCCTGTGGACAGAGTTGAGGGAGTGAGCCATGCACAGCTGGACAGTCAGGCCCCAGCTGACCAGGAGGACTGGGAAGTGGTATCTAGGCACTCGTCTTGGGGGGATGTTGGCTTGGGTGGCAGCATTGAGTCTTCTGGGTTAAATGTGAGTCAGGGAATGGACTGTGACAACACTTGTGTAGAATTGAGAGGTTGGGAAGCAGATGGGAAGGTCAGGTCTTCGGACTCTCAGCAGGTCAGCATTGGGTTCCAGGTTCATTACACTACGAGCACTGGTGCACAATTCCTCGCAGTGACTGGAGACCACGAGAGTCTTGGGGGATGGAAGACTTACATTCCACTCCGCAACCACAAGGATGGGATCTGGTCTCATTCTCTTTTCCTGCCAGCAGATACAGTGGTGGAGTGGAAGTTTGTGTTAGTGGAGAATGGGAAAGTTACACGCTGGGAAGAATGCAGCAACAGACTTCTAGAAACTGGCCATGAGGATAAAGTGGTTCACAGATGGTGGGGGGTTCATTGAGTTAGTTGGCAGACTACTGGAGAAGTTGCACCAGAGTGTGGAGAGGCTACAGTGTGGTGCACACTGAATAATTTAAAGGGAGTACAACTCCAGATTTAGCCATCAAAGTTGCTAGTGCCTTTAATCTAATAGGCAGATAAATATGTATACAGACAATGCTCTCAGCAGTGTGGACTTTTTTCCTTGTTGCACTGACTGGTTGGTTTGTGCTGATAGTCATGTATTTTCTTTAGGGCTTGAACCTCTTAGAGAGTGATCTGGCCAAGCTTCCGGTGGGACTGTGGTCAAAGAAGCATGGAAGCTAATAGGCTACAACAGGTACAAGCTAGATGTAATTAGTAAAGATCTGTGGCAATGCCCTGAGACTCCTCCATATTTTTGTTTGGTTTTAGCTGCTGTGTAGGAATTAGCAGATGGCAAGTGCTTCTATCTTAGTGATCTAAGGCTGGTTTGGAAACAAGGGGCTGAATCAGGATGGGTATTCAAGGTAGTCATGGTAGCAGCCCAAGAGAAGGAATCTGAATGGGGTTGGGTTGTGGGTTGGCCTGAAGGACAGCTCTTTTGAAGACTGGGAGGTACAGCCCAGTGTGGCTCCAGTGAAGGACACACCCATCATTTCCCATGGGAGCCCTTGTAGGACTGTCTCTGTTCCCCTCACACCTGCACACACCAAGTCTCCAGAGATGGATTGTCCTATAGAAACTCTTGCCCATGACATCCTCTTCCCTCGCCTCTCATACCAGTAGCTATAACCTGGTAACAGTTAATGTAGAACCTGCTCTGAGAAGAAATAAATGTTTAAGTTATATCTGAACAAATAAAACCTGAGCTGTAATCTTTACTAAATGTCTGAATTCTCTTAGTATTATAGTAACCCAGATGTCCAATAAAACACTATATGCATTTTACACAGAAAAGCAAATATTAAAAATTATGTAAGAAGCTGGGCACTCGTAGTTTATGCTTATAATCCCTAGCTACTCAGGAAGCTGAGGTCTGAGGATCATGGTTTGAAGCCAGCCCGGAGAGAAAAGTCCTCATAAGACTGTTATCTCCAATTAACCACTTAAAAACTGGAAGTGACATTGTGGCCCAAAGTGGTAGAGTGCTAGCTTTGAGCAAAGGATCTTAGGGACAGCACCCAGGCCCTGACCAACACACACAGACACATACATGTAAGAAGATATATGTCTTTTTCTCCTTCCTTTGGAGTAAAAGTTTAGAACATTTCTTTTAAAACATCTGTGCTTAGGATTTCAGCATGCCTGATCTTGCAAATAAACCTTACATATTAATATCACTTTTAATAAGTATCATTGGTAAAATAATATACTTAATCCTGGTAAAAGTTGGGTCTTAGCTGAAAAGTTAAACCCCACTTAGTAAAGCCCTTAGTAAAGGGCTGCCTGATATTGTCAGAGCCACAGAGGCCACCTGCTGTTACTTGAACAGTCTGTTAATGCAGAATATTCCTATGAGGGAAAGTAAAGGAAAACAAATTCAATAAAAATCCCTCGAAAGAACATTATCACAAACCATTTTTTTTTTTTTTTGGTCCGGTTGTGGGGCCTGAACTCGGCCTGGTCGCTGTCCCTCAGCTCTTCAGCTCAAGGCTAGCACTCTACCACTTGAGCCACAGCGCCACTTCCGGCTTTTTTCTTTTTGCTTATGTGGTGCTGAGGAATTGAACCTAGGACCTCACGCATGCAAGGCAAGCGCTATACCACTGGGCCACCTTCGCAGCCCCTCACAAGCCATTTTATTATCTCATGAAATAAAACTTAAACTTTCACTAGAGGCAACTGACTTCAGAGGTACTGATTTTCCTGAGAAGGCACGTCTGCCCTCAGAATTCTATCTGCTGCATCAGAACTGGTGGCTACAGTTAACAGACCAGTCATACAGGAGGCAACATCAGACAGACTTCCTTGTTCTTGGACCCAGCAGTACATCTTAGCAGAAAACTAGCACCCCAGGCTCTCCTGCCTTGTGCTACCATAACCCAAACCTTCCCAAGTTGCTGTATCAGCCATGGAAAGGCAAGAGAGCGAGGCATATCACAAATACCTATTACTGCCTTTGATTTGCTTTGTACCTTCCATTCTATAAGTGAGAACTGACCAATGGGCACAGCTGGAGGAGGAGAGGGACTGGGCAGCAGAGCCTCTGGCTAGGCAACTGTGGTTTCTGACAGTTCTGAACTAGGGAGCAGGAGCACATGTTTGTTTTGTTTGTTTGTTTGTTTTTTGATAGCTAGCATTTGACCACATTACCACTGGTGTGTTAGCATAACCTATCTGTTTTGTATATCATATCACATACCCAAATTTATCAAAATTCAATTTAGACAGACTGAATTAATCATCTAGAAGTTACCAGCTTACTTGCTATAAAGAGTAATGAAACATTTTCTTAAATTATTAAAATATAGAGACTTCTGAAATTTTGGACTGGGGGCCCCAAAGCTTTGAGATTGGATTACTCACTGATACTGACAGAACAAACAGTGAGTTCAGGGTCAAAAAATGAACCCCTGTCCCTGTGCTGGAGTTTGTTCTTCTATTCTTGGCATTACACCATTCACTTGCATGTGGGAGTGTAGTGTTTCTCTAAAGACTTTTTCTAAGCTGGAAAAAAATGATTACTGAGCAGGGCACTGGTGAATCACACCTGTAATTCTAGCTACTCGGGAGAATGAGACTGGGAAGATCCTAATTCAAAGTTAGCCCAGGGAGAAAAGTCTTAGAGAGTTCATCTCCAATTGTCCAGTAAAATCCTGGGCTGGAAGCATGGCTGAAATGGTAGCACCCAAAGCCATGAACAAGAAGTCAAGTGAGAGTAAGTATGAAGATCTAAGTTCAAGCCTCATTACAGATGACTAGACCATCTTAGATCTAGTAAATTTAAAAAATACAATCATTCCAATATACTAGAATTAGCATAAATTACTACTTTACAATGTATGAATAGTTTCATATCTAGCTAGCTTTTTTTCAAGTTTTACTTTGAGAGCATTCAAAAACAGTTTATTTCAAAATAGTTTACAGGACAGGGTATCTTTTATTAAATTTTGACATAAAAAGAAAAAGGTACACAGGGCACTAATTATAATTAACACCACAATTAACCAGGCACCCTCCCTCTGTAAAGAACAGGCAAGCAACCCATTATTTTAGCAACATTTTTTCTTGGTCTTTCACTTTCTGAATCCTCTTTTCTTGATTTCTGATCATTGAAGACATTGCTGAAAATGTTGACAAAAAAAGTTAAAACAGCAATATCTACTTAGGGTTTAAACTCTATTATGTGCTTAAAAAAATAAAATGCTAGGAAATAAACCTTGAAGTTTTGCTTCCCCACCTCTCTTTATAACAATACTATTTTAAGCCCTCATATATTTGTACCATCATTTCTTATGAAATAAGCTGCTGAAATGGTCATTTCTTCTAGCTCCAAGGTTACATATGCTTAAGTACAGAGTTGGGGTTTTTTGTTGCTATTTTTTGCACTGTTAGGATTGAATCTAGGGCTCTGTGTATGCAGGCAAGCGCTCTATCACTATACCTTAAATTCTGTTAAATGATGCAAAATTCTCTCCAAAAATTATTTTTTTAGTATTCCCACAAACATTTTGTCCAGGCATTGCATGCAATATAAAGGTACTTTTATGTTTTAGCAAATAAGCATGTATCTTGTTAGACTGTTACATGGTGCTATAAATCAGATAAACTGAGGAATATGAGAATATGAATAAAAATGGGGCCAATAAAATAATGAATCCTTCTCTTTAAAAACATAACAAATGCTGGGCATTGGTGGCTCTTGTCTGTAATTTTATTTACTCAGTAGGCAGAGATTGGGAGGATCACAGTTTGAGGTCAACCTAGGGAAAAACTTCACAAGACTCCATTTTAGCCCATTGCTGGGAGTGGTAGGTAGGGCATGACTACCTTGGTATTCAGAAGGCTCATGGTTTCAGGCTAGCATAGTTAAAAAAAAAAAAGTCCAGGGGCTGGGAAGGTGGCTCAGTGGTAGAGTGCTTGCCTTGCATGCATGAGGCCCTGGGTTCAATTCCTCAGCACCACATAAGCAAAAAGAAAAAAAAAAACAGAAGTGGCATGGAGCTGAAGAGCTGAGGGACAGCGCCCAGGCCCAGAGTTCAGGCCCCACGACCAGACAAAAAAACAAAAAAGAAAAATGTTTTCCTTTATCTAACAACTCTATGGACAGAAAGATGGACTAAGAATAAGAGATGCCCTTCAAAATTAGTTTCTCTTTGGCAAGACTCCTGGATTCATGAAGGTAGAAAAGCATGCAACAAGATAGTCTCCCATGTCTTCTGTACTTAGAATTTATACTCTAGGGGCTGGGAAGGTGGGTCAGTGGTAGAGCGCTTGCCTTGCATGCATGAAGCCCTGGGTTCCATTCCTCAGCACCACATAAGCAAAAAGAAAAAAGCCGGAAGTGGCGCTGTGGCTCAAGTGGTAGAGCGCTAGCCTTGAGCATAAGAGCTAAGGGACAGCCCAGGCCCAGAGTTCAGGCCCCACAACCAGACCCCTCCCCCCCCCAAAAAAGAATTTATACTCTAAAAGCTACCAGTCATCTGCAGATTGTAATAGATTCTCATCCATGGCTTTAGTATTTTTAGAAATGACTTATCTCATAATTTTGTGCTTCATTCATTGAGTAGCATAGTCTCTTACAACACTAAGCTAATTTAAATTCTGAGTAAGCTAAATACTTCAACATTTTGTATTTGGTTATAATATTGTCATTTTATCCTGGCTAAAATCAAAGTAACAGGGACAAGAAAGTATAAAGAAACTCAACCTACTGAGTGTTGGTCAACAGGATAAGACCCTGAGGCTTGATCATGGTTAAGATCATACTTTCACTAAGGTTTCTGAATTGCTAATTCAATACCCTGTTGGATCTACAGATAGAAAATTTAACTTGAAGGGAAGGAGAGTATTGTTATGAGTGACAAGATCTCTCCAAAAACTGCACTGTACCTTGGTTTTTCATCTGTAAATCTTCTACCAGGGTTTGCAAGCTTTCCAGTCTGTTTTGAAGTTTCCTGCATGTTTTTCCTGTTGTTTCTACTGGTGGAGACTGTGAATCTATTAGAAAATTGCTTAGCTGTGATATAAAAAGTCTAATCACTACTTCTTTTTTGGGAATAATTCAATTGAATTACACGTTAAACAATTTTCCATTCATTTACTTAGAAAGGCTCTTTCTATGTAGCCCAGGCTGGCCTCAAATTTACTATCCTCCTGTCATAGCCTCCTGAATGATGTAACTTTTCCTTTAAAATAAAGAAAACTTAGCCAGGTGCCAGCGGCACATGCCTGTAATCTTAGCTATTAAGGAGGCTGAGATCTGAGGTTCAAAGCCAGCCCAGGCAGGAAAGTCCATGAGACTTTTATCTCCAATTAACCACCAGAAAACCAGAAGTGGTGCTGTGGCTCAAGTGGTAGAGTGTTCGCTTTGAGCTGAAGAGCTCATGGAGAGCGCCCAGACCCAGAGTTGAAGTCCCATGACTGACAAACAAACAAACAAAAAAAGAAAGGAAAAAAAAAAGTCTTTTCAGTTTAAAAGTTTCTTGTTTAATACCTGATTTTATTTAATATTGAATCACTGCAATGCTAGCTTATTTTATTTTGTTTCAAACCAATACAACTTTGTGTTATTTAACAACATCGTATTAAGTGGGATGAATGAGAATACTTCAAGTTTAATTGAAACATTCTCTATTGGTCAACTTTTTTATAGCAGACTTAAGTAGTTCCATTAGCCTAAGGTCTGAGGGAGAAGAATCTA